GAGTAGTGAGACCCATGGTGATGCTGGGAGTCAGCTCCTGACTTCTAATGGGGTCTCTTCTAGAAAGCATTTCCGGCTACTCAAACCATATGAACAGGCTTGGGTTATGAGCAGCATATTATCATTTGGCCAAAATTTATGTTCTCTCTGATGTGGTAAATGGCTTCCTAATAAAGCACAGCCCCAGACAGAAACCAAATGCAATCACAAGAGCGAGGCAGAAGCAGAGGTGAAGAGGTGACTCAGGTAGATACTGGAATCAGGAGGCATGTGGGTGCGTACTGTTCTTAAACCACAGAGTTTTTGTCTTTTTTTTTTTTTGAGACAGAGTTTCACTACATCGCTCTCAGTAAAGTGTGGTGGCATCACAGCTCACAGCAAACTCAAACTCTTGGGCTTAAGCAATTCTCTTGCCTCAGTCACAAAACCCAGTTATTTTTTTGTTGTAGTTGTCATTATTGTTTAGCTGGCCCCCAGCCAGGTTCGAACCCGCCAGCCTCGGTGCATGTGGCCGGCACCGTAACCACTGCTACGAGTGCCAAGCCAAGCCACAGAGTTTTCTTTTCTTAGCTAACAGTGCTATTGTTTTTCAGACTCTTGTGAACATATCTGAAAAAAAAACTTTGTAAGATGGATGCTAATCAGTGTAATGCTATATATAATGTATGTATAGCAGGATGTAGCATATCATATATCATATCATAGAGAATTTTCCTATTTTCCCAAAGATTCAAGAGTGTTCACCCCATTCTCTGGGTAATAGGACATGAGGATGAAGTTTACCTTCTTTCCCATCTGTCTTTTAAGGTGTTTCTTTCTTTCCATCAGCCCTCTAGTCATACCTTGACTTTATACATATGTCAAAACTCCATATGCATTTTTAAGTATTCTACGTACGTAGAAGCATTGACTTTGATTATTTGGTTTTTAGGGGGGGTTGGGTTTTTTGAGACAGATTCTCACTCTGTTGCCAGGCTAGCGTTGCAGGTTGCAATGGTGTGATCATAGCTCACAGCAGCCTCAAACTCCTGGGCTCAAGTGATCCTCCTACCTCAGCCTCCCCAGTAACTGAGACTATAGTTGCCCACCACCACACCCAGCTAATTCTTTCTATTTTTAGCAGAGGCAGCGTCTTGCTTTTGTTCAAGGTGATCTTGATCTCCTGATCTCAAGGGATCCTCCCACCTTGGCCTCCCAGAGTGCTAGGATTACAAGGAATGAGCCACAGCACCTGGCAGATTTGGTCATTTTTTTTTTTAAGGAGTTACATTTTAAAATATAATAGTCGTGATTCTATGCTCTAAATTGACAACTAAACTCTACCTGTTCTGTTAAGAACTTCAAAAGAAGGAAATTTTGTAGTTTCCTGGGGAAGAGCCAGTGACTTTAAATGCCCTGTACAAACAAACCTACTGCTATGGAGAACACCAGTTCAATCTCAGGACAGACAGACTGACTGTGCTGCAGTCATATCAAAAGGACAGCTGTGAAACTCAGGGGCCCCTGAGCCTGACGTAGCACTTCCTGCTAATAAACCACTGCTTTTGAATCCAACAGTGTCACGACCCTTCTAGGCTTTATCCAAGCGCCGTTTCCCACAGTGTGTGTTGTGGAACCCTCATTTCTGGAATGGTTCTGAGAACTCTGAGAAGCCACCTCTGGGCACAGGAGAGTCACAAGGGCATGTTCACCCACAGGGCATGTTCTGAGAAGCCCTGAGGTGGGGGGAAGTTCCCAGCTGGCTTCACCTTTACATGTCACCAAGTTGGAGATGCAGCTGTTTTGGCTTTGGTTTGGTTTGGTTAGAGACAAGATCTCCTTCTATGGCCCAGGTTGGAGTACAGTGGCATAATCACAGCTCAGCTGCAGCCTTAAACTCCTGGGCTCAGGAGATCTTCTTGCCTCAGCTTCTCAAATAGCTGGGACTACAGGCACACTAGGATAATTTTTAAACTTTTGATAGAGATGGGGCCCCTCTGTTGCCCAGGCTGACCAGAGATGCAGCCCTTGAAAGGCTTGGATGCCTTTCTCCCAATACTGAGTCCATTTCATGTGCCTTTGGAAATTAAAGAAAAGATAAGGTTGTATTTTCAGTATCATATTTCCTTTAACATGTATTAAAGGAGCCTCCACATTACAATTAGAGCTGTTTAAATTGTAACTAATAAGGCACTAAATTATTTGCCCTAATTATATTCAAGTCTTATTTTCAAAAATGTTCAGTACTTACTTCTTTCTTTCTCACATCTCTGCTCATCACAGTGAGACTTTTAGAATTTTAGATTTGGAGCTGTATGACATCCAAATAGGAAAATAATTACACTTTCTGCATTTTTCCAAGGAAACTGATACATACTAAATATTTCCTTTGCGGCAGCTGCGAGAAGCAGGTGTTATATACTTTATCCTATTTAAGTTTCATAGTTCAGCTCTGGGAGGACAGTGAAGTATTTTTCCTATTTTACCAATGAGCAAATAGAGGCAAAGACAGGTTAAATGAAGTGCCTGTGGTCTCCAAGAGCTAAAAACAAGGAGAGCTGGAATTGGAGCTCAGAATACCCACCTCCAAAATGAAAACGCCACTGTGTCTGTTAAGGCCTGCTTTATCTCACCATGACTATCGCAGCGTACACTTTAATATGGCCTCAACTTTTGCTTTCTGTGTTTAAACAAAATATAGGATTATATGTATTTACATAATTTAGCAATGATAATGCCTCATAGCTCTTGCATCTGTGTGAATCGTTACACATTTAAATTTCCACAGCAATTTTAATATAGAATTCTTGATGTTCTTCTAAAAAGCAGAGGACAAATGTTTAGATTACTGATTATACCACATGTATCTTTTACATTTTTAGCAACTACTCCGAAGTCTTATCCCAACACTCCAGTACCTACGAGTGATGACCTCCTGGAGCTGAATGAGATTCTTGATGAAAACTGCCTGATTAACAGATACGGCTACTTCAAAGCCACCATCACCATTGTGGGTAAGGCTGGTGTTCTTTCCCTGCTGGAATCCACTCACTTTGCTAACTCTAAGGGGAAAGGTGGCTAGTTGGGGCACCCTACTCCTTGTCTGAGGTGATGTCACACATGCACGAGCAAAGATTCCACTAGTTTCCAGATTTCCACCTGCTTAGCCCAGCCTTCTTTAGACATCCTGGTGAGCAGGAGCCCTCTGTGCAGCCCACATACCAATGAGCCCGCCCTGGGCCTGGATCCCTGTGCATCCAAGCAATCTGGATGGATATGGGTGACAGGAACCAGTATCGACATCCCACAACTTCCATGCTCTTTTTCTAGCTAACTTTGACAAAGTCATAATTCTTGTATGTAAAAGGGGAATAAGCAGGCCACCACACAGGGCTATGCATTTGGGGCACAGCCCTAAGGTATCCAGCAGAGAAGACAGGTAGGCACCAAAGCTCCCTGGTTCTGGGGGTGAGGATGGAACCCCAGGCTCTTGCCCCTGAGGCTGAGACACCTGTTAAGCTGGCCACACGCTGAGCTGGGGGTGGTAGTGACTGCATCCATCCAGAGGTTACCTTTTCCTGAAATACTGACCCAGAGAGGGTGCTGCTTCCTAATACACGGGCTCTAGAAATAAAAATCTAGATCGGACTAAAGAACAGTTTGGTTTGACTTTGAAATGCTTCATGGACATATATCCAAAGCTATGGGATAGATTCTCAGATCTGATGTGTTTTTGTATGGAGAGAGAGCTGTCTCCTCCCAGCACCCCCCTTTTTGCCTTCTAATTTATTAAGGGGCTGTCATAGTCCATCCACAGTTCTACAATTGAATACCATAGACTTGGGGTGGCTTAGAAACAAACAACAGAAATTTATATATTTCTCATGGTTCTGGAGGCTGGGACGTCAAAGATCGGCAGATTTGGCATCTGGAGAGGGCTTGCTTCCTGGTTCTCGATGGGAACTTCTTGCTGTGTCTTCACATGGTGGGAGAGGCAAGGGAGCTCTCTGGGGTTTCTTTCATAAGGGCACTAATCCCATTTATGAGGGCTTCACCCCAAAGGCCTCACCTCCTAATACCATCACCTTGGAGCTAGATTAGAATTTCAAAATGTGGGCTCAGCACCTGTGGCTCAAGTGGCTAAGGCACCAGCCACATACACCTAAGGTGGTGGGTTCAAATCCAGCCTGGGCCCACCAAAACAACAATGATGGCTGCAACCAAAAAATAGCCAGGTATTGTGGCGGGCACATGTGGTCCCAGCTACTTGGGAGGTGGAGACAGGAGATTCGCTTGAGCCCAGGAGTTGGAGGTTGCTGTGAGCTGGGATGCCACGGCGCTCTACCCAGGGGGACAGCTTGAGGCTCTGTCTCAAAAAAAAAAAAATGTGAATTTTGAGGGAGACAAACATTCAGTCTATTACAATGTGGTTGTTTAGCTTGGTTTGATTTTGTATTTTGATGCGTTTTCTATGGGGGGGGGTGTTTTGTTAGAGGGAATTTTAGAGGTTAACATCATCCAGATGACAGAAGTCCTGATGCCCATGCCACAGTCCGACAACTCCCTAATGGACTTTGTTGTGACCTGCCAAGGGACGTGAGTACATTGTCTTATCAGAGGGTGGGTTTGGTGAGGACCCCAGGTCCAAATAAAGTTGATTTAAATTTCTATTTACCCATAACTCTGGATAAGGAAAGACTTATAAAGGACCCTAGGTGGTGGCATTAGGAATACACACATTTTGCTACAGTGGAGAGCTACTGCACTCTAGCTGGGGCGACAGAGCAAGACTACTCTGTGTAAAAAAAAGAAAAATGAAAGAAAGACAAACAACAACAAAAAAAACTTTGCCTAACACCTAAGCCATCTGTACCTTTGGACATTCTCAAGGTGTAGAGGGAATGACTTGGTTTTACACGGTCTCTACCAGCCTCTTGCCTTGGGGGAGGCCATTTCTTCCTCCTCCTGTCCTGGGGCCTCAGCTTCCTAAAGTCACATTGGAATAGTAGCTCTTCACCCAGGCTTGAGAGTAAATCAGACTTATATAAAAACTGGACCGGTACAAGGAAAATTAGCCCAGTCCCTGCATGAGGATGACAGGCGAATTTGTGACTTGCTCCATATTTTTGCCTACTCAGTCCCCCACCTCACTGAGAATCTCCCCTTGACCCAGTTTCCACACCAGACCCCCTGACAAACAGGAGAGGCCAGAGAGCCCAGCTTTGTCATGTACCATCAATAAGGTTCCCTGTACTCTGTCCCCCTAAAAAAGAGTAAATCAGACCCATCAATTCATCATATGGTTTGAGTAAGAATAAGAGGGAATTCAATTTTACAGAAATTATGATTTTTCTTTTTTAAGACTGTTATTACTTTCCTCTCTCCCCATCTCTGTGCCCTGCGTGCCCTGCCCCACCCCTTCCACGTGACAGCATTCCCACAGAGGTCTGCACCATCATTTCTGACCCCACCTGCAAGATCGCCCAGCATGCAGTCTGTGGCCCTGTGCACGTGGGCGACACGTGCCTGCTGACCGTGAGAAGAACCTTCAACAGGTCTGGGACCTACTGTGTGCACCTCACTCTGAGTGACAACGAAAGTCTGGCCCTCACAAGCACCCTGGTCTCTGTTCCTGGCAGAGGTAAGTTTTGATTTATGGTCACACAAGCATTTCATATTACAGGTAAAGTGAGTGCCCAATTCTGAAGATATCTGGAACTTTGCTATCATGTTAATTTTATTTCAGTGCAAAATTTATTGAGTGTTTATTAATAAGGATTTGCAAACTGACATTAAAACCCAACAGCATATCAACTTGCAGAAGGAGAGAGTAGGGGAGTGAGAGAGGGAGAGAGAGACCCAGTGAAATAATGGCCAAAGAAAACCTTTTGATGAAAATCTTCATGGACGAATAATAATGGGACGTGATCACTGAAATGATAGCAAAGGAGAGGCTATCATGTTTTCATGAAAACCCACCTGGGGCAGCAAACAGCTCGCCTGCGCTTGACTTTCACAGCCGCTAGTGGAGCCTTCTTCCTCCTGTGCATAGTGGCTCTTTTTTTTTTTTTTTTGAGACAGGATCCTCAAGCTGTCCCCCTGGGCAGAGTGCCGTGGCATCTCAGCTCATAGCAACCTCCAACTCCTGGGCTCAAGCGAGTCTCCTGCCTCCACCTCCCAAGTAGCTGGGACCACAGGCGCCCGCCACAACACCCGGCTATTTTTTTTTTTTTTTTGGTTGCAGCCATCATTGTTGTTTGGCGGCCCGGGCTGGGGATTCGAACCCTCCATCTTGGGTGTACATGGCTGGCGCCTTAGCCACTTGAGCCACAGGTGCCGAGCCCATAGTGGCAACTCTTAAGGAAAAACTCATTGCACCAGTTGCAGAAGCAGCAGCAGAGGTCCCAAACAGTAAGATCACGATAGTGGATGTTGGACAAGTTGGCATGGCGTGTGCTATCAGCATTCTGGGAAAGTCTCTGGCTGATGAACTTGCTCTTGTGATGTTCTGGAAGATAAGCTTAAAGGAGAAAGGATGAATCTGCAGCAGGGGAGCTTATTTCTTCAGACACCTAAAATTGTGGCAGATAAAGATTACTCTGTGACTGCCAATTCTAAGATCGTGGTGGGAACTGCAGGCATCCGTCAGCAAGAGGGGGAGAGTCGTCTCAATCTGGTACAGAGAAATGTTAATGTTGTCAAGTTCATTCTTCCTCAGATCGTCAAGTACAGTCCTGATTGCATCATAATTGTGGTTTCCAACCCAGTGGACATTCTTACATATGTTATCCAAACTAAGTGGATTACCGAAACACCGTGTGATTGGAAGTGGGTGCAACCTGGATTCTGCTAGATTTTGCTATCTTATGGCTAAAAAACTTGGCAAAAAACTTGGCATTCATCCCAGCAGCTGCCACGATGGATTTTGGGAGAACATGGCGACTCAAGTGTGGCTGTGTGGAGTGGAGTCAATGTGGCAGGTGTTTCTCTCCAGGAATTGAATCCAGAAATGGGAACAGACAATGATAGTGAAAATTGGAAAGAAGTTTATAAGATGGTTTGAGAGTGCCTATGAAGTCATCAAGCTAAAAGGATACACTTATTGGGCGATTGGATTAAGTGTAGCTGATCTTCTTGAATCCATACTGAAAAATCTATCCAGGATTCACCCAGTATCAACAACGGTGAAGGGGATGTACAGTATTGAGAATGAAGTCTTCCTGAGCCTTCTGTGTATCCTCAGCACTCGGGGATTAACTAGCGTCATCAACCAGAAACTAAAGGATGAAGAGGTTGCTCAGCTCAAGAAAAGTGCAGATACCCTGTGGGACATCCAAAAGGACCTGAAAGACCTGTGACTGCTGAACTCTAGGCTGTAGGAATTCAAAAACTACCATCTGATTAACCCCGAGCCTTTAGTTTTCAGCCAGGTACATGGATCATAGTTTGCTTTTCTCTTCCTTAATATGTGAATATGGGATCACAGAGTCAAAGCCCAGGCTTGATCTAATGCTTGCAAAATGAGCCCATGAATAAATATAATTAACTATCTTAAAAAAAAAAAAAAGAAAAGAAAAAAAGAAAACCCACCTGGGCAAAGATACGAAGCCAAGAAGTCCGGATGCCTTGCTCCCTTCTAAGTTGCCACACGTCCTCTCTTTTCCTTTCCAAATTTCACAAGTGTTCTCACTAACCAACTTACTATGCTTCAGATCTTCTCCAGAAAAACTACTGTTCGCCCTCCTAATGTTTGGAAAGGAAAATATTAGCAGAGTAGACAAAGGAATTTCATTTAGAAATGAATTTCATTTAGAAATTTGCCTTTGGGCGGCACCTGTGGCTCAAAGGAGTAGGGCCCTGGCCCCAAATGCCCCAGAGGTGGCAGGTGCAAACTCAGCCCAGGCAAAAGCTAAAAAAATAAATTAAATAAATAAAAAAAAATAGAAATTTGCCTTTACTGGTGGCATCCAGTTTTCCCCAAACCTCAAACAAGGCTGTAACTAAAGGCCCTGAATTTCACCTTTTTTTTTGGAGACAGAGTCTCATTATGTCACCCTCAGTAGAGTTCCATGGTGTCACAGCTTGTAGCAACCTCAAAGTTTTGGGGTCAAGCGATTCTCTTGCCTCAGCCTCCCAAGTAACTGGGACTACAGGCACCTGCCACAACACCCCGCTATTTTTTTGTTGGAGTTGTCATTATTTAGCAGGCCCAGGCCAGGTTCAAACCCACCAGCCCCGGTGTATGTGGCTGGCACCGTAACCACTGTGCTACGGGCGCCAAGCCTGAATTTCACTTATAGCCAATTTTGTTGTAAGATACTTATTTAGAAGTCTTAGAAGAATGTTACATAGTAGAATAGTAGAATAGAAGGGAAAGATTGAGTTGTGTACACATGACACCACTTACTTCGCTCCTTAATTTGAGTATTGTCGGGTACAATCTAATGACTAATTCACTAATAACTCCTTTGGACTTGGAGCCTATCTGATAATGTAAATGTAGCTAAACATGTATTTACTTATTAATCATATAAAGGGGTAGCTTTAACCTTGCTGAAAGAAAAGCTTAAGGCGGCACCTGTGGCTCAAAGGAGTAGGGCGCCCAGCCCCATATACCAGAGGTGGCAGATTCAAACCCAACTCCCAGCCAAAAACTGCAAAAAGAAAAAAAGAAGGAAAAGCTTAAGTGATCATCCATAAAATTATTTGTATAAGGGCATATTGTGGTGAGATCCAGCAATACAGAGAAAGATACAAGGGTATCCTACTTCCTGCAGGGTAAGCGGGATCGGGTCTCAGGAGAGACCTGGAGAGGGCAGGGACAGAGGGGGCAGCCTTAACCTCCACAGGTGAGTGACTGCGGGATAGTCACCTCCAGGAGCTGATGAAGTTATTCCTCCTCCAGCTTTTGTTAATTACCTTTAATAATTCATTCTATTAAGCTTCCTCAGCGCTGGCAAAGCATTGATCTCTTGTGTAAATTAGATGTTTAGATACTTGCTTTCTTTTAATTCTTCTTCTAGTGAGCAATAACTTAAGGTGTGATATGAGTCATTTTCAAAAGCCAAATAAAGCTCAGAACACTGGGCACAGTGGCATGTGCCTATAGTCCTAGCTACTCAAGAGGCTGCGGCGAGAGGATCCCTGGGCATTAGAGAGAGACCTATCTCCAAAAAAAAAAAAATCAGAATTTGAGAAATAGATGACTGTTCAAAGGCACACACATAGACTTTATCTTTTTTTACCTGAAATGACTTTTATGTATTGGTCCAATGAACATTCCTAAAGCACCTGCAGTCCTTTCAACAAGTATTCATTGAGCATGTACTTCATGCTCTGCACAGGTCTAGGTTTAAGACACAATTCCACTTTTTTTTGAAACAGAGTCTCACTCTGTTGCCCAGACTAGAGTGCTGTGGCATCAGCTAAGCTCACAGCAACCTCAAACTCCTGGGTTCAAGTGATCCTCTTGCCTCAGCCTCCTGAGTAGCTGGGACTACAGGTGCCTGCCACAAGCCTGGCTAATTTGTCTATTTTTTTAGTGTAGATGGGGGTCTCACTCTTGCTCAGGCTGGTCTCAAACTCCTGATCTGCCTTGAACAGGAAGCAAAGTAGAGAAATCATCTGATTGGCAACAGCTAGATGTTTGCGGTTTTTTGTTTTTTTTTTTTTGAGACAGCCTCATTTTGTTGCCCTCGGTAGAGTGCTGTGCTGTCACAGCTGACAGCAACCTCTAACTCTTGGGCTTAAGCAATTCTCTTGCCTCAGCCTCCCAAGTAGCTGGGACTATAGGTGCCTGCCACAACACTTGGCTATTTTTTGTTGCAATTCTCATTGCTCTTTTAGCTGGCCAGGGCTGGGTTGGAACCAGCCACCCTCAGTATATGGGGCCAGCACTCTACCCACTGAGCCACAGGCAACGCCCTTGATGTTTGCTTTACTGTGGCCTGGTGTGACAGGGTGGTTGCTGGTGATTGGTTGAAACTAGGACGTTTGTTACAAAATACACGGTTGACCCTTGAGCAACATGGGTTTGAACTTGAGAGTCCACCGATGCTTGGATCAAACACAAATAGAAAATACAGTTTTGGAGGATGCCAAACCTGCCTTCCACAGGCCAACTGCAGG